ATCCGCAATATCGACGTAAGAGAGATCGCAATTTTAGCACGCAAACTGCGCGCTTCTCAGTCCCCTCAGGACCGTCTGCTCGCGCTTACCGAGCATCAACACCTTCTAAACTCAATATAATTAGTCATCCCATTCGTAAGCTGCCTTAATTAGGCAGCAATTCTTCCCAGCGGCTACTCGCCGCTAGCGCCCCCCTTTCACCCAAGGGGGGTCGCGTTCGATACGGCTTAAAGATCTCTAGCTAGATTATTAAGCCAGTCCCTAAAGGCGGTGTTTAGTGGTTTAGTGGGTAAAAGTCTCCACATAACCACGCAGCCGGCTGCGTGGTATGCTATGAGCATTCACCGCCTCCCTCCCCCGCTTTCCGGAGGGTTTCCCATATTGCTTTGGGCGCAAAAAAAATGGAGAGTAGAAGTAAGAAGTACCAACTCCCATAGTAGAATAGTTGAAAAAGTGGCCATCTGTAAGCAGTAAATAACAGTTCAAAAACACTCCACAACAGCGCTGGAGTAGCTGCTGGGATGAAATAAACTTAGCGGTTACCAACGGTTTGAAGTGTGCTGCTAAAGCTCAGCTAAGCTCTAAAATCTAAAATAATTTTATTTAGTAAATATAACCTCGAAAAAGTCGTCTATACTACTAATGTTTTTCGGCACGTTCTTTGAAATTTAGTTCGTAGCTATATTGGTGCCACCCTTATTTAACGGTTTTCTATGGACCCTTTTTAATACACAGTCTGTACTCCTTACTTCTACACTCCATAGTGCTAAGGTGCTCTCAGTTACACTCTCCTGACAGCTGTCACTGAAGTTTTGGCGGGAACTTGCCAGTAGACGGATTGTTACTGCCTTTTGTGTTCGCTTGAATAATGGTTTGAAGTGGAATTTTATTCGTAAAAGTGATGCGATTTTGTGAATTAAGTGTCCGCGCGCGTGAAATATTAGAGAAAATGACGAAACAAGTGCTTTGATGTCGATATAAACTGTAAGTGCGTAGGAGTAGGATCATATGTCGTTATAATTAGCAAATAAATTACTGCAGACCACAATCGTGAGGCAGTACCGGTACCCAGAACATAGTGGTAAGGGACCGATCAGGTCAAGATGTATATTCCGAAAGCGTGCTGAAGGTAGTATGTATGATGCGAGCGGTGCTGAAGTGTGCCGAGCTACCTTGGATCGTTGACAGTGCTGGCACTCCTTTGCCCATTGCTTATAATCCCGCTTAATGCCAGGCCAGACGAACCTCTGCGTCGCAAGCTTGAATATAGCCTTCGCTCCTGGATGACTCAAGTTATGTAGTGCATTAAATACCTGTCTGCAGAACGAAGGTGTGATAAACGGCCGTGGACTCGGGGTGGAGACGTCACAGTATATGTGCAGGTCCTGTCCCGATGCCTAAGCTTCTCCAACTTCGGGGCAGAGCCGTTCTTCAGCAGATCGTGTAGCTCGCTGTCGGTGTCTTGCTCACTGGCTAGGGACTGGTAGTCTAGTTATAGCCTATATACGTCCCACTGCTGGGCACAGGCCTCCCCTCATTTCTGAGAGGGAGGGACTGGTAGTCTAAGGGCATAGAAATTTCATTAATGCAGGAAAGAGTGTCAGCGACTATATTATCTTTTCCGGCAATATATCTGATGTCCGTAGTAAACTCGCTGATGAAGTCAAGGTAGCGAAACTGGCGTGGTGAGCAGCTAGTTCGGTGCGTTGTAAAAGCAAACGTCAGTGGCTTGTGGTCTGTTATGACCGCGAAATTTCGTGCTTCGACCATGAAGCGGTAGCGTTTGATGGCTTCGTAGATGGAAAGAAGTTCGCATAAGGACTATACTTCCTCTGGCTTAGACTTAGCTTCTTGGAAAATAATGCCAGTGGTTTCCATTCGCTGTCCTGGTATTGCTGCGGGACTGCCCCTATTGATGAATTTGAAGCGTCTGTATGAATCGCCAACTCTGCTTGTGAATCAGGGTGTACCAATAGTGTGGCTTCAGAATGACTATTTTTGCAGTTATTAAATGCCGCCAACAGAGCGGGTGTCATGTTGATAGGTTGCGAACCTTTCGTCTTTGGGCCGGTGAGCATTTGGTTCAGTGGAGCTTGAATGGTAGCTGCATTTGGTATTAAACGGCGATAAAAGTTTACCATTCCAAGAAAACGTCTGAGTTCCTTGACGGTTTTTGGTGGAGGGAATTCTTGAATAGCCTGCACTTTCGCATCCATTGGCTGGATTCCCGCTGCTGAAACCTTGAATCCTAGGAAGTTGACCTCAGACTGCCTAAAAACGCACTTGTTCGTGTTTATTAGAACGCCGTATTCCGTCAGTCTTTGAAAAAGTTGCCTGAGGTGTTTCTGATGCTGCGTGCTGTTGGAGCTGTATACCAGGATGTCATCCAAGTATCTAAAACAGAAGTCCAATCCCCGGAGAACCTTATCCAGGAAGCGCTGGAACGTTTGAGCGGCGTTTCTGAGGCCGTAAGCCATGGACGGGAACTCATATAAGCCGAATAGTGTTGTGATTGCGGTCTTGCATACGTCAGCTTCGCAAACTGGTATCTGGTTGTAGGCTTTAACCAAATCCAATGTTGAGTAGGTAGTACTTCCGGCCAGCTGTTGTGTAAAGTCCTGCAAGTGTCTGATGGGGTACCTGTCCGGGATTGTGCGTGCGTTCAATGAACGGTAATCACCGCAAGGTCTCCAGCCATCGTTCTTCTTGCGAGCTAAATGCAGTGGCGAAGACCAAGGGCTATCAGATCTGCGCGCTGTGCCGTTTTGTAGCATCTTGTCAAACTCCTGCTTTGCAATCTTCAAACGCTCAGGGTCTAAGCGACGCGGACGGCCGGTTACAGGTGGTCCCGGAGTAGTGCGGATGTAGTGTACCGTTGAATGTTTAATTAACCTTTGCTTACCAGCAGGACGAGTGAGGTCGGGAAACTCTCTCAGCCGACGATGGTAAGCGCAGTCGTCGATGGTTGTTCGAACAGATGAGATTGCCTCTGTTGAAGTATGACGTGGTACAGCAACTATGAGCGACGTTACGCCATCGATCAGACGCTGGTTACGGCAATCGACTAGTAGGTTTTAGTGACCTAGAAAGTCAACGCCGATGATGGGCTTCGAGACGTCGGCTACGGTGAATCGCCAAGTAAAAGCTCGTCGAAGTCTTGTTAATGGCAAGTAGCCATAAGTAGGGATAATTGTTCCGTTGGCTGCGAACAACTCGTACTTTATCTTGTTTCGTGGCTCCCGAACAGCGGATCGCGGAAAGACGCACAGGTCTGAACCTGTATCGATGAGATATTGCACCTTTGTTTTGCGGTCCGTAATGAACAGGTGGCTCGAAATCGCTAGGAAGTCGTTTACCGCCACTAATGGCTGCCTCGGTAGTTTCCCTTTTTCTCGTAGGTACAGGGTACACTTCCGTGCTTTTGCACCAAACCGGTAGTGGTAGAAGCAATGCGTGCGGGTGATCGCTATGACGTGAGCGTGAGCGGGGGCAGTATTTTTTTCTTGAACCGTTAGAGCGTGAACGTGAACGCCTACGTAACTCCATACTCATTGCTTCCACTTTTTGGCTGAGCTCTGTCACTGTCCGCGTTAAGGCTTCAATGGTGTTATTAATTGGGGCCGTAGGTGTAGATGACGTACTAGCTACTTGCGCAAGTACTTGACTGTTGGCTAGCATAGTTGGAGGAACAACGTCATTTACCCGGTCTGCAAGCTCGGCCAAGTCTTCTAGCGGCATCTTCGTTTGCTGCGCGGCGATGCAGGTCTGCAGGTGTGTAGGAAGTCGGCTTGCCCACATTGTTCTGATGAACTCAGCTGGTACATTTGCTCCAGCTAGGTGCTGCAAATGCCGGAGGAATTGCGTCGGCTTTCTGTCTACTATCTCCTCGTGCATTAACAGCTGTTTGATCTTTCGTTCCTGGGAAGCGGACAGTCTTCGTATCAACTCCGTCTTCAAAATATCAAACATGTTTGCGGCCGGTGGGGAAACTATTAAGTCTCGTACTTCTGCTGCGTTGCGTTCTGCAGCTGTGCCAGGACGTAATAAAATATCGTGGCGTCAGCGCTGATGCTGGACAACGTGAACTGCCCTTCCAGTTTCGCGAACGATAGTTCAGGGTCATCAGGGTTATTCTTACCCCAACTCGGCAGGATTCTTCCAAAACACCTGCCTTGGCACCACCAGCTTGCATCTTCTTCGAGGTCTTGAACGTCGGGGTCACCAGTGTAAGTGCGTAGAAGTAGGATCATATGTCGTTATAATTAGTAAATAAATTACTGCAGACCACTAATAACTATATTTATTAACACGCAAGTACAAGTTAGACAAGAGTACACAATAGTATATCATTGCATTGGAAACATTTCTTATATAGATGAAAATAATTAATAATAATTAAAATCGCAATATGTTGTTTATCTTAAACTACACACTGATTGGTCGTATTCACAGCGAACACTATACATGCGCAAGCGGTCATTGAACTCCGCCCATGCCGCCATCAACACAACAATAGATACACAGGTGGCCATCGAACTCTGCTAGCGCTACGACTACTACTAATGAGCGGGCGTTGCTTAGCGATGACGTAGGATATCGTCCGATGTATGACGTAGTGGTGGCGTGATCTTTAGGTCCGTTCTAGCTACTAATTTACTCGCCACAAAACATAAAGTTATTTTGCTTGCGCTTGGGTGCCTTATGAACTTGAGTCGCCGTCGTCATCAACTGTCCGCTGGGTTGAGCTGTCGTCAAAATCTCCCAATATGACGCATCAGCATATTGTGAAGAAAAAGAATATAAAATGAAAGATTATAATGATAGGCTCAGAAGGGCTAGAACCCAGAGCCGTAAAGCCAGTTAATAAAAAAACAGCTGTCACTGTCACATCTGTCACGTATTCTAACCTAAAAACAAATTCCTAGTGAATGTTTTTTCTTGGACTTTTTAGTCCTATTACTCAGAAGAGATTTGTTTCACTAGGAGAATATTTAAAAAGAATGGGTCGAAGAAACCGTAACGTTAATAAATTTGCACAACGCAAGCGAGAACGGAAGGAACAGGTAACAAACTTACTCTTAATATATGGAACACATCGAAAGATTCGCGGAACTTATTTAGCTTACAAGTGACTATTATTTTAGGCAAAGAATCCACAAGAGAAACCTGCAGATGATACACGTAAGCATTACGAAGATATAGTGAGAGAAAATGCATCATTTGAAGAATATTACAAGGTAATTTGTAGTTTTTCGTTTTGTTTATATATAATTAAAATTTCAGGAATCATTTGTATATTTATTTAGGAGCGCCAAAGAAGATTATAATGATGATGGATGTATATTCTAATATAGAACATTATTGCAGCTCTTCAAAACTCCTCAGCTAAACATATTTGACCTGTTGTATAGTAAGTAGTCACTAACATGTGACTGCAGCAAATAGTGAATCGCGGGTGACAAAGCCTAGTCGAATAGTAGGAGACAAAAATCGGCAAGAGTTTTGTAATGTTTTTGTAATTCAATATGATTTAGTATTGGGGGTCTACATGAGTCAGCTCCCACTTACAAGGTCATGTAGTGGAATACCTGGCGGCGGCGTGCTCTGCTGTATGTAAAATTACAACATGCTCTACAAGTGTTTTGTACTAATTGAAAATTGGCAGTAAGCTAGTTTATATTGTAAAAGAAGTGAGTAAGTATTCATTTGTGAAACTGTGTTGTTGTGGAACATGGTGAATTTTGTAATTCAATAAAAAAGGAAATTGATATATCTACGCACTTCGAACAACCGCACACGCTCAATATCCACTCTGAGCGACTGCGACCTTTGTTCCATTTATCTGTGGTCTGATAATTTTTTTCTTAAATTATATATAGTAATTAAGCAGTAAATGAATTTTCAGCCATCACATAACTCTTGCATCGACATTGCTATGGGGACAACTTATGTGGCATGATGTGGCAAATTTTGTAATATAATAAATAAGGAAATTAATATATCCCTACGCGCTTTGAACAGTGGCGTGCACTCGATATCTACACTTTGAACGACTGCTGACTGCAGCTGTTACAATTATTGTTGGTCTGCATATTTTTTTCTTAAATTATGTATAATAATTAGGCATTAAATGAATTTTTGGCATCTCACCACACCCAAGTTTAACCGGGAGAGAATCCTAATGGCATTAAGTCCACCATTTGTAACCGTTTTATTAAGGTGAAACAAAAAGTGTAAATAAATAAGTAAAATTTAATTTACTTATTTATTACACTTTTTGTTTCATCTTAACGAAAACTAAATTTTGATAATTTATATTTTTGCAAATTTGTTTTCCTTGCACTTTACAGACTCAAAAAGTGTGCCCAGAAGAAGAATGGTCAGATTTCATGACATCTCTAAAAGAAAATCTACCCACAGCATTCCGCATAACTGGTTCCAAGTGTGAGGCTGATGCATTGTTGAATATTGTTAAGAGTGAATATTTCTCAGACATTCTAAATATGAAAATAAAAAATGGAGATAAAGATGAGGAAGAAGAGATAAAACCCATTAGTTTACCATGGTGTGTGTGTATAGTTATATTATTTATTTATTTTCACTTGCGGCTGTGGCCACATGGAACACTTGGAGATTATTTATTTATTTTTACTTTAATTGAAAAATTTAAACCAATTAAATTAGTTAAAGACAACATATTAATTATTCTACCTTACAAAATTTCATGCATTCAAACAATATTACCGTAGATTAATCCGCAAACAGGTTCCAGTGCAGTGGCACAAAATTTTGTACAAAAATACACAATTCACACAGTCTATATTTCCGCAGATTATTTTACACGCCATGATAGCTTATTGATACATTTGCCATACTTGCAATGAATTGTAACTCAAAGAACCCAGGAGAAATATAGTGGAATATAAATATAGATACTATCCATGAAGGTCTATAAGTGATCTTAAAAAATAACTGAAATAGAAATTAAAGACCTATTAATTTCACGTAAAAAAAGTCTTACGACCTTAACCTTTATTACTGAAGTTTTTTATAAAATAACATTGAGGTAAAAAAAATTGTCAAAAAAAAAGTCGATTTTGTGTTAAAACCTTAAGAGATATAAGAAAAGATGAAAATTTTTTTTGTGGAGAATTACGAATGAAAAAAGATTTGCTTGAATTTATTTTAAATATATTTTTTATATTTAAAGAAAAGATTTTTCAGTTCTTTTTGTATGTATAGATTTTATGTTATTGTGTAGTGGCAGTATAAGAATATCCATTACCCCATACTGTCCTATCGGTGACAAAAGAAACAAATATGACAATGGGAAGCAGTGTCTCCCTAATAACAAGTAAAAACTTAAAAATCTGCAGTTATCACCCCGCTTGCCAAGTGTGGCAACTATGGCGAATATTCCTCCTAGGAGTCAGTCTGAGTGAGGCCTATGTTGTACCTAGTTGTGGACTTTTGATTGGCTGTATTGGTAACAATATGAATTTTACTTAACATGATGTTATAATATGTTGCTACTTTTTATTAGAGTATTAGCAGAGAATTTTTTGTTTTTTAATGCTGCTATTTTTAATGCTAATTTAGTTCTTAAAAGTCTGAGAAAGAACCAACCCCTTTTTTATAAAATCTAAGTGACAAACAAACTTACAGTCCACCTGATGGTAAGTGGTCACTGAAGTCCAAGGCACCTCAAAACCAGAGAATGTCTCATAACTGTAATTATAGTGGCTCTCTATACCCCTTATACTGGAACCCAGCAGCACACACACTGCTGTTTGGCATCTGAAATAGGTAAGAAGGTGGTACTTATCTAGACAGACTTCTTTTTTTTATAGTATGGGGGTGAAAAACTAATACAATCATTCATTTATCCTCGATTAAGAAACAAAATGCAAATGCATTGTCACCCCTGAGGACCAAGATGGAATGCCTCGTTTCCAGTAAAAAAGGGTCTCCGGATCTCTACACTCCCTATACAAACGAAACAGCAGTATTAAGCTGCTATTTTACGCTGGTATACTGCGAGAGCGTGGTCCTCCCCCGGTCGAGCCGACTCATTCGTGCTACAACCATAATATAGCTGCAGCGTGATAGGCGAAGAGCCTATAAAATGAACCCCACGATATCAGCTTTATAACATATTTTCTGGAATGTTTATAGTTTCCACCATTATTCCTATTGTTTGGTTGTTGCTTAAGTCAAAATTGACCAAAAAAAAAAACTTCATGTTTATAGCTCTAATTGTATTTAACTTTTTAATGGAAGATAGGTTTCAAACATCCAATGCTCATATTTTCATCCTATGGAATTTTTTTTAACTAACACTACAAAGTTTAACAGTCAAGTCATGTGAGAGTATTCCTGAAATTTGGTTGCAATGTGCAAAACCGTAGTAAAATTATCATTAAAAGTCTCATAATATTATTTATTTGTAAAAGTAATGCAAAAGGTAAGATTTCATTAATAAGAATATGATATTTTTTAGGTACCCAGGAGGCTTAGCCTGGCAACTCCGCCTATCCAGAACTGACATTCGCAGAAATGAATTGCTGTACAAACTCCATAATTTCCTAGTAGCAGAAACAGCTGCAGGAGGTGTTTCAAGACAAGAAGCTGTGTCTATGATACCACCAGTTGTGTTGAAAGTGGAACCTCATCATAAGGTCGGTAACTAACAGTATGGTAATGAAAATATATTTAAATTCATAAACAAATTACTATCTTCAAACATTACATAATAATTAGATATTTCATCATCATTACAGTCCTGCACAAGTCCACTGCTGAACATAAGCCTCCCCCAAGTAATGCCACAAAGCACGGTCCTGAGCTACCTGCATCCATTGACTTCCTGTATGTCTTACCAGGTCGTCACTCCATCTAGTGGGGGGTCGCCCTACACTACGCCTATTAAACATGATCTTTGTTTTGTCCATGTTCATCTTAAGACCTATCCGTTGGGAGATACCATTGAGGTCATTGAGCATAGTGCTAAGGTCCTGCAGCGAATCTGCCATAGGGACTATATCATCAGCAAATCGAAGGTGAGTGATGTTACTCGCCATTGATGTTAATACCGTATCCTTTCCAGTCCAGTAGCTTGAAAACGTCTTCCAACGCAGCGGTGAAGAGTTTCGGAGATATAACGTCACCCTGTCTTACACCTCTCTGCAGTTGGATAGGTTTCGAACTCTGGTTCTGTACTTGGATAGCCATCGTAGCCCTACTGTACAAACACTTCAGCACTTTGATATACCGACAGTAAACTTGGCACCGCTGAAGAGACTGTAGCACCGCCCAAATTTCGACGGAATCAAAGGCTTTCTCATAGTCCACATATGCCAGGCAAAGTGGCAGATTGTACTCTTCGGTCTTCTGTACAATCAGCCGCAGGGTATGCATGTAGTCTATGGTATTGAAGCCTTTTCGGAAACCGGCTTGTTCGGGAGGCTGGAAGTCGTCGAGTCTGCGTGCGAGACGATTCGTAATGACTCTCGAAAACAGCACGTAGACGCGGCTCAGAAGGGAAATCGCTCTGTAGTTCTTCAAGAGAGTGTTGTCGCCTTTCTTGAAGAACAAGACCACCGCACTTCTGCTCCACGCCTCCGGAGTAGTGCCACCATGGAGGACGGAATTGAAGAGCTTCTGAAGGACTTCAAGTATCGGTTTTCCACCCGCATTCAGAAGCTCCGCTGTAATTATATCACTCGCCTGGGGCCCTGCCGTTTTTAAGGTGCTGGAGAGCCATTCTAATCTCGCTCAGACTGACGTCCGAGATATCATCGGAATAGTGTCGAATAAGACTTGCTCTTGGATCGTTACTCACACTTGCGTGTGGCTCCAAAAATGATGTGTACAGTTGGCCATAGAACTTTTCGATCCCACTTATAATCTCAAGTGTCCCGGAAACCATGCTGCCACTGCTACATTCGGTGTACAGCTTTGAGAGTTGGCTCTTTCTGGCAGACAGATCTCTGGCAAAGACTTTTAGCCCTGGATCCGCTCGATCGCTTCTTTAATACGAGCGGTATTAAAGTTGCGTAAGTTTCGCCGCATGCATTTGGAGATCTGTCTGTTCAGTTGCCTGTATGCTGTCAAATCTGTTGACGATTGCAGCCTCATCTACCGTCTAACAGCCATGAGATTAAGAGTGTGATCGGAGAGTTTTTGTGTTCTTCTGCGGCGGGTCTTGCAGAACTACACAAAAACTCACAAAGTAACTCGAGCTGAAAAGTTTCGGGATTCTGGATTAGAGCAATAGGGGGACGGAGCGTTGACTTCATTAGACGAGACCTCTCCAACTTAACATTTCAGTGTGCCTCTAACCATTCGGTGATCGCTGCCGGTTTTCACCCTTGCGATCACTGAGACATCACTGAACAGTTGGCGTCTGGTCGTCATAATGAAGTCAATCTCATTTTTTGTCGAACCGTCGGGGCTCGACCGGGTCCACTTCCTATGGGGCCGCTTCTGGAAGAAAGAGTTCATCATAAAGAGTCCCTCTTTCTCCATGAAGTCGTCCAGCTGCTGGCCCCTTCGGTTCCGTTGACCTACTCCAAATTTCCCTAACTTCAGCTCACCGTTTTCCCTTGTGCCTAGTTTTGCGTTGAAGTCTCCCATTAACACCGTGTAATGGGTTTTGGAGGAATACATGGCTCTGGAAATATCCTCATACATTTCCTCCACCTCCTCATCGCGATGTGCCGAGTTTGGTGCGTAAACTTGTATGACCTTCAGCGAATACCGTTTGGTGATTCTGAGTATCAGGTACGCGACCCTCGTCGACACACTCCCACTCTTTACAACATTGACGAGAGACTTGTGGACGATAAATCCGACACCTCCTTGGGAGTTGACAAGATGCCGGACTCGAGGATTACCGTGTCCTCCCCCTCTCTTCGGACCTCGGATAATCCATATGCCAGCGCAACTTGTCTACCTCTTCTTCCAGCTCCAGTATCTTCTCGTCAGTCCTCAGGGTGAGTGCGTTATATGTTGCAAGGTCGAGTCGTCGTAGGTGGCAACCGAATCTCTACCGGAGATTCTTAGCACCCCCTGGGAATAGGAAGGAATAGGAATTTAACATGGTAGAGCCATCCTACTGTTATATATTGGTTGAAACACAAATGGGTCGGCATGACAGGGAAAGGACCACATCACTCTCACAGGAAATTCTAAATTGACGATAGATATAAATATCTATGGGCCACAAAATCTAATTACTATCTGGGCGACTGTGCTCATTTGTCACATTATTCTATATAAAAATAGGCTCACTTCATAGTTGCCACACTACGCAGGCAGTTTGGCAACTGCAGTCTTTTACTCATTTTGAGCTGTTTCCTTTGTTTTTCTGTCGCCTTTTACGACATCCAGGAATGTTATGGGATGTTAAGTTCTTTTTACACGTTGATGATGATAAATCTGACACCAATAATATTGTGTTACAAGTGAAAGGATTGGTTACCTTGTTCTGGCCTTTAACCTCGCGCGAACCGTGTGTGGCTGACCTAGACAAAGCTATAACCGATCAGGCGGCCGACAGCGCACCCCGCGGTGGCGCTAAACAGCCATGTCAATTGACACATATGGCACATTGAGTATTGTTTAAAGAAAACGTTATTTATGACTCTACATCAGCGGGATAATAGAAAATTGATAAAATGTTTTTGGAATCAAACAAAGAAACATTACATTACATTAGTACATTTCACTTTACTTTGGTCGTCAGTTTCTCTAAAATAAGTCCAAATAGTAAATCTATTGCCGCTCATTTTTATCATATATCTATCAATTTCACTAAGAATAAAACAACGAAATACTTTTTTTATCACAACAATAGTCAAATCATAGCAAGCATGTGCCGACAATTTTGCTCAGTACTAGATGATGCAATAACTGACAGGTGTGGCGGGGGGCGAGAGACAAGGTCCAAGGCGCTAAATCCGCGCGCTTTACGGTAACAAGTTTCGACATAAATTGGTTAGGTACCGAGGTAATCCTGCCGAATAATGTTCGGCCGAATATTCGGTTCGGTAAAAGTTTTACCGAACATTCGGCTGAATATTCGTATTCGGTGAAATCCATATTCGGCCCATCCCTAGTTAAATTCAAAATACGTGGTAATGCATCATGCACATTCTTAAGGGTCGATCGGTAGGCAAAAACGTTGTTGCTCATAAATCACATTCAATTTGGGATAATTTCAAGTAAAAGTGGAAGCCTTGTTTACTCGTATTTTCAAAAACTGCAATAACGGTATATCTTTATTTATATATTTGCACTTAACTTTAAAATTTGGCTACTCTTTGAAAAATAACCCTATACAATATGTAACGTAATTAACGCACACCCTCTGACACCCCAATTAGTATATTATGTTATAATCATAATTGGTTGCGCGGAAAACCATTCGTATATATTTTTATTTGACGGTAGGCTTGCCAAATCGTTTATCCCTTTCCAAACGATAACATTAATACCCTCTTATCGACACATCGGGGTGGTGGGGTGGGAGGGGAAAGAAGAGGATTCTAGAATATCACGCGATCATCGCAACCGAAGGAATAAAAGGGCACGCGCGGCCGACACGCAGTCTCTCTTCCCGTCGCGCTCGTCGTTGGAACCACACCGCTTAAGAAAATAGCGGTAGAAGGGCTATTGCCCACGCGCACCGCTAGTATAACCGCTTTAGCCTGGAAGCAGTCGAGCTCCAGGAAACCCGCCTCACCTCGTGTGAGAAATAGTCGCGCACCGCTCTCTCCCGACGCATCACCGGACAAGAAAGCACCTCTGGGGGAGTTCTCAGAGGTCGCAGCAACATAACATAGTGCCCAAGCCGCATAGAAGCAACACCCCGGTGAGTGAACATTCCTACTAGTTCCTGCTTGATATAATTGTGTTTAATAGTTAATCCGCTCCAATTTTCATTTCTTCTAATCAAGCAGGATTCCTTTCATAGATTCGGCAAATAATAGTTCGTTTAGGGAAGAGCGAGTGCATTGTATGGGAAACCGCGTGCTATAGTCGTCATTTTGTGTAAACGAAGAAGCATTTCGCATATACAGTCCATTTGGGTTTAACATCTCGCGTAATAGGCTCAAGGCTCGACTGGGGAATTGGACTTCGGTAACCTTAGGCTCGTCGCTCCACCGTAATACATACACTGAATTTTAGTTAAACATTTTTATGCACTGATTATTTATCAAATTAGTTATACTAATTCCGGAAGAATGTTGTGGTCACAGTACAAATCCACGAACGCAAAGTCTTTAACGTGCTTGAAATAACGTTCATTTTTCTTTATTTTTATTGAATGACAGAATTAGTAATAATACAAATAAAACTGCACTCTTAAAAGTCTTATTGCTTTAAGTTAAGGTCCATTTCAGTTTTTGACTGTACAGATTTAGTGTGACTGTAATTTACGTAGTTTTAATTATTTTTGAGATAAAAATTACCTATATTAAAAATGATAGGAATCGATTCAGTAAACGATTCTGAACAAACTACTTTCTCAAAGTGCGTTAATTATGTTACATGTTGTATAATTAGTTTTCTTAATTCTGTTATAAAGATATGCCTATTGTCACTATTTATGTATTAGTTGTTTTACTTTTAGGTATTAGATATGTGCGCTGCTCCCGGTTCCAAGACAGCGCAGTTGATAGAGTTCCTGCATGCCGAAGAAGAGAAAGTACCCACTGGTAATGGTCTATAATTCTGTACAACTACCAATATTGCCAGAATAGAAGGAATTTAATAGCTCAGGGGCTAAGCGCTTGACATAATTTCACAGTACGCAAGCAGTCCGGGTATACCGTGTAGTTGTGGTCTCTTGCGTGTTGTAAGAGCCGATAGAGGAAAACTGAAACGGAAGATGGGCAGTAACATCTTTCTCATAACAGGGCAAAATAATATAAAACAGCGGTTACACATACCCTATTTTCAAGCCAGGCAATTACGGTAAAATGTTATAAAATTGGTAATTTTATTTATTTATCCGAACCAGCCCCTTTCTTGGACCTTGGAATCGGATGTCTTACCTTGAAAAAAAGAAACATTTATTTGCACAGAATACAGGTGGTACCAGATTTAACAATGATGCTTAATTCAAGCTATTTCCTGCCTGTATTAGACATGCAAATATTTATAATTATATAAAACAATTAAAATACTATTATGTCACTAACAAAATGTCAAGGTATATTATTTTTAGCATACATATTTGTTATTATTGTATTACATTATCTTAAATTTTACAAATAATCAGATAGATTAGTTTTATGTTGTATGGACTCTTCTATCGTATAATAGCACTTATCTACTAGCCATTTTCTTAACTTAATTTTAAAATATTTAAATAGAAGTTCCATTAGACTCTTAGGCAGTTTATTAAAAACTGATATACACATGTGATAAACATTTTTTTATTCAAAGTTGTTCTACAAAATGAAGTCTTTATTTTAGTAGGATTTCTTTGTCTGTATTTAGTAACATGATACTTGAATTGAAAAAATCGTTGTACTTTCTTACAAAGACTGATACTTCAAGAACATACATGCAGGTCAATGTCAGCAAATTAAGTTTTTTAGAGGTTTACACGAGTCGAGTGTACTTACTCCACAAATAGCTCTTAAATATTTATTTTGTGCAATGAATGCTTGAACTACATCTGTCGAATTCTCCCATGCTATTAACCCATATCTAAGGATTGACTATACATAGCCTTTATATGTAATGTATAATTTATATGTAATGCATAAAATGCTATATCTGCAGTTTATTCACCTGACATGGTCCAAAGCTTTCTAAGGGCGTACGCAAATCTGCTTAGTTTATATGTTGTTTCCAGTTACAAAATCTATCCAGAGTTATACACAAGAATTTTATGCTGTCAGCTTCTTCTATACTATCGTTTACTATCTTTATATTAATGTTATTATCAGTTCTTACTTTTTTTATTCATACAAAATTTTTGAATTTTGTATTTGACGTATTATTTATATGTCAATTTATGAATATATTGACAACTATTTTACTGTAGATAATGATTACTGTGGAACATAAAGAAAAGTTAACATAATTTACTTATTCTTAGGTTTTGTAATGGCGAACGACGTTGACAATAGCCGATGTTACATGTTGGTACATCAAGCCAAGCGCTTGAATTCACCCTGCATACTGATCACCAATCACGATTCTGCCGTTATGCCGTCGCTCATCACCACTGACGAAAAGGTAAACTAAACTATCTACCTAATATACTAATATTATTTTTTAATATTCTATATTAATTAACAGAATCAGGCATTACTTTGCGAAAGTCCATTATATTAAAGTTGTTAAGAATTAACTCGCATACATCCGCTCAATAAAATAAAATGTGTCTTACTTAGTTTGAAGAGCACCTCCCACCCTCCCTCAATTGCGTCCACTAATCCCGTCACCACCAATCCTAGCACCACTACTCTCAACACCACTACACTAGGAAAGACACACCATCGACGATAATACGACACATGTTTCGCTTTTACACAAGGCATCCTCAGGTGATGTAGACTCTGCGGTGGCTGACCGCTAAGCTGTCAATCAACATATTTAATATAAAAATATTATATGTAAACATATTGTAGATAGATTTATATAATGTAAATTGCCTCATTGGTTTGGTGGTCGTAAATTCAGTTGCTGATCATGAGGTCTTGGGTTCGAATTCCAGGTCAGGTTAAAATTAATTATTAGGTTTTCCTGTCAAGAAATTCTTTATTTTAGTGTCTTTAGTTTCTCTATTTTAGTGGTAGCCCGGAGTCAGTTGACAGTGTTTTCACCCCCGTGCCACAGATATTACGTAAAGCAGTAAATCCTGCGCCTGATCTCTCTATGTTCGTGTCGGCTAACCGTCCCATTTGACTATGACAATGAGGGAATAGAAAGTGCAGCTCTGCTTGCGCATACACTTGAGTACTATAATCCTATCCTGCGCAGATGGCTAGTCTTCGTTGAGAGTACTGCCATGAAAACCAGCCGTGAAAACTTTATTTTAATTTAAATATTGTCAAGTGAATTCTTATACAGGGTGTTAGTGTAAACACCGTTATCCTTGAAACCAGTGGTTTGGTTTCACTTATAGAACGTAAATTCAACCATCAATGATAAATAACAACATTTTTTTAGTAAAATCTCAATTTTTCCTTAATTCCTCAATTTTTACCTGTCCTAAGCCAGAATGAAAGTATGAAGGAAAGGTTACATCACAGGTTATGTGTACCTATTGTGTTTTTATTGGAATATTATGTAGGTAGCTAGCGGGTGGTGATCTTTACAGTGATTACGTCACTCGGGTGCATAGGGTATCCATGAATTTTCGTACGGTGTCGGACAGAAACTTTTTAAATTTTATGAAAGAAAATAGCGTTATTTTTTAAATTCATTGAATTTACGTTCTATAAGTGAAACCAAACCACTGGTTTCAAGGATAACGGTGTTTACACTAATACCCTGTATTATGTTTTTATAATTTTTTTTATGTGTAATATTTTTAACACAGTAAACTTTTTTATAGGATCCTACAGTGACAAAACCATTAAAGTTCGACCGGATATTATGCGACGTACCTTGCTCTGGAGACGCGACCCTGCGTAAGAACCCCGACATTTGGTTGAAATGGTCTACTGGGAATGGGAATAACCTTCATGGGTAACATTTTAATTGATATGTATTATAAATGTTATTCTTGTACATTATATATAATATAATAATCTTAAATAAATGCAGATTGTTCAAATAAAGTTCACTTTAGTCAATATTTTACACAACCTCAGGGTCTAAAAATCTTTTTTTTAATATAGAATTACGGTCACAAACAGGTACACAGTCCACCTGATGGTGTGTGGATGTGGATGCTGAGGCCCTTAGACATCTACATTTATTCTTAATACTTAATTAAATTTCAATATGCAGACGCGTTTCCACCCCTGAGGACTACGATGGAATGCCTTGTTTTCAGTAAAAAGGATCTCCAGTTCTCTATACTCGTCATATGAAACACATTAAATAGCATTAAGCTGCTATTTTACGCTGGTATTTTGTGAAAAGCGTGGTCCTACCCCGGCCGCGCCGACCCCTTCGTGCTATAACCATAATAACATAGCTGCAGCATGACTATGCCACATAAAAGAAATCTACCATTATACATTAAATTTGTATATTTTTATACTACCTACCATATTTTTTAAATAAAATATGCTTGTTACACCTTGACTGTTGTAATAAAACTTTAGACGAAATTATTATAGTACCTCCTTATCACGTAAATTACAGTGCACACCTGATAATGGGTGGGTCCGTTATATTCTATGAAGGATTTGCTATTATTGCTGCCTTCGTTGCATTGTTACCCCACCGCCACACAGCGGATAATTCTAAAATGTGTGCATTTAAATATATAAATCGTTCTTAAATTCTGTATTATTACTATATTATATATTATATGTTGCCTCGATGATGCTGCAAGTCGAAACCGTCTGTTTATACTCAAATATATAACTGAAATAAGTAAATGTTCAAATCCATCTATACATATAAATTAAATTGAGATGTCTGTCCGTAATATCTAAATAACTGCCTTGTGTTAAGACGTAGTGGTTATTTGCGTGTCATTATGAACAACTATTTTTTTGTCCGTCTGTTTGTCTGCCTTCTTCTTCACAAGCAGATAGAGAGTAGTACCCGAAGTGATTTAGGCTGAATATTATCTGATATATTAAAAAAATCATTAAATGGCCTTTATTTATCTAAAATCTACACAACGCCATAATATTAGATAGATGACGACTCCGTGGCGCAGTGGCTTAGCAATAAGCGGCTGCGCTGGGGGTCGCGGGTTCTAATCCCGCACGGAACAAGTATTTGTATGACCTACAAATAGTTGTTCCGGGTCTGGATGTTTGTCCTTGTGCAATTTATGTTTGTAGACTGCCCCCACGATACAGGAGACAATCCTAGTGTAGGGGTAACGTTCTAAAAAAAAAATAGATTCCCACCTACGCGAAGCCAGGTCGGGTGGGAAGTCAAGGAAAGTTTATTACAGTCCAACACAAGTCCACTGCTGAACATAGTCTCCCCAAGGAACGCCACAAAGCACGGTCCTGAGACAGCTGCATCCATCTACTTTCTGCCTTGTTCCTTATCCACGTCGTCGTTCCATCTGCTGGGACTGGGGGCTGAGGAAGAAATTTGTTTTTTCCAATAAATGCCACAAATACCTTTTTTAACAAAGGCCACAAACCTCTTTCCGGGCTTATCTACATAACTACATCTACATACCCTCGCGTATACCATGTCATCCCTTCACCTAGTGGAGATGAACCTACTCGTTTGTTAATAATTCCGTTACATCTTTCGATTGTTATGATATACAATTTTTAATATATTAAAGATTTATAAAACCAGCCGTACTCTAAACCTACTCGAGAACCTTTTTACGGAATCTTGATGTTGTGGTCCATAGACACCTACATGTATCCTCGATTAAAAATAAAATACAGTTGGGTGGTCACTGTTGAGGACAAACTGGAAGCAATTTAGAAAAGGGCTCCTGTTCTCTACACTCACCATACGAAACACAGCTTCATTAAGCTGCTATATTACGCTGGTATTCTGTGAAGGCATGGTTCCCCGGTCAAGGCAACCCGTTCGGGCTACAACCATAATATAGCTTCAGTATGGCTCTACCACGTAAAATATTTATATATTTATTTATATAACATTTTTTGTCCCCAGCATACAATACCGCATACTCCGTCGTGGCTGTGAACTCCTGGCTGTGGGCGGTCGTCTCGTCTACTCTACTTGCTCCTTCAATCCTATTGAAAATGAAGCCGTTATACATAGGCTACTGCAAGAAATCGGCGATAGCGTTAAACTGGTGGACGTGTCGGATATGCTGCCGGGATTGAAGTTTCACAAGGGTATATATATATATATATATATTTTTTTTTAAATTTCTAAGCCTGTGCTTTACTACTATCCAACCTGATGGTAAGTGCAGCTAAAGATGATAAAGCGCAATGACTTATCTTTATAATGGCTGCGTTTGGCCGAAAAAAGCGCTAGGAATAGCTTGTAAGAGAAATGGCAATCGTAAGCGGTAAGCGCTGTCAAATCGTAAGTACCTATTTTCCTCTAGGACACGAAGTTAGCTTTAACCGGGGCACCAAAATTAATTTAAATATATGTTTGTAAAGTATTCATATTAAAACTTATCAATCATGAATTTTTAATAACATGTGTAATATGTTTATTCATGTCATTATATTATTTGAAACTAATATTACACAAAACAACTTATAAACTCTACTTCAAAACAAATTAAATAAGCAAAATAGCGGATTGTGTCAGCGCTACTGAAGTTAACAAACGTGTCCTGACCGAAATCTGTTTAGTTTCGCCATTTTGCTTACAAGCGCTTCTTAGCGCTTTTTTCTGCCAAATATATATAATTTTTCTGTAATGTTTTTGTGTGTGTTTGAGTGGGCTCCTGGATGATTTAGATTCACAATTACACTCAGTAGGTGGAGCTGTTGTCGAAATCCAAAAATCGCCCGTGCGAAGCCAGGGCAAATTGCTACTATTAATGTAAAGCCGGCTATACACGTTGGCCGAGCGAAGGTGAGCACCAACGTATAGACAGCCCATTTGTCAGCCTCGCTATTGCTCGTCGACGCTCGCCTAGCTGACCGAGTGCAAGCGAGCGCCAACGTGTACGGTTCGTTTGGTCTTGCCGCCACTCGAGATCGTTAGCTGCGACTCGTCCTCTTCGGAACAGTGTCGGCTTTTTTGCACAAATCAAAGTCGCTCGCCTGCACTCGGCACTCGCGTCCACATGTTAGTCGCTCGCCCATGTCGGTTACAGCATGGCGTCCGTCCCGGTGAGATATTGATTTAATTAAGTTGCAACTTTAAAATAATTTCATTTTACTTAAGTTTATTTATTATTATTTCATTTTACTTTAATTTTTTTAACATTTTGGCGGAGTACACTGACATAATAATAATATGCACGTATTAAATAAATAGCAGAAGCTGCAATAAGTTTTACGTCGTCCGTATCATACCAATTCTCAATGACGACTAATTACGGCCATCATGTAGCTCCACAAAAACTCGTTAACATTGCCCTTGGAATTGGTCTTTTTCGAACTTGATCAACGTGTAGACTGTAGCACTCGCCTTGTATCAATTTGCCTACGCTCGCGTTGGCTGAGGCTTGGCCAACGTGTATTTTCGGGGTAATAATTGGAAATAAAAGGAATCGTTGTTTGCTGGGTACAAGAAAACTAATAATAATAATCCAATAGCTTTCTTATAACTTGTCGACGATTATTTTATAATATTTATGGTTCTAGGGTTCAAATTTCAGCTACAATATGAACATTTTATTTAAGTTTCCGCTACAATAAAAAAAACCATGTCCTCCATTTAAAAAGATGTCAAGAAATGTTCAGTACTATTTCTTGACATCTTTTTAAAAGACATACCGGATGATTTCAGTGGTTTCTATTAATAACAAGGCAAATTAGCCAGTTATCGGGTTGTTATCAAATCATGCTGACATGTGGTATACATTTTGAATACCATTGGAAACGATTGTAATGCTCACTTATGCATATACCTCCTATAAATCTTTGCCGTAGATGGGCATTAGAATGCACTTTCGTTAACGTTATTATTATGTATTCTCGTCTGTGCACTCGTACCTTCAGTACCTCTTGATAACACTGACTGCCCGTGCACTGGTGTCACAGTACGCTGCTTGTGCGCTCTTCGGTGCACTCGTGCCTTCGGTACACCTTGAGTACACTCGCACCTCCAGTGCACTGGTGTCAGTACGCCGCTTGTACGCTCTTCGGTGCACTCGTGCCTTTGGTACACCTTGAGTACACTCGCACTTCTAGTGCACTGGTGTCAGTACGCTGCTTGTGCGCTCTTTGGTGCACTCGTGCCTTTGGACACCTTGAGTACACTAGCACCTCCAGTGCACTGGTGTCAGTACGCCGCTTGTACGCTCTTCGGTGCACTCGTGCCTTTGGTACACCTTGAGTACACTCGCACTTCCAGTGCACTGGTGTCAGTACGCTGCTTGTGCCTTCGGTACACCTTGAGTAGACTCGCACTTCCAGTGCACTGGTGTCAGTACGCTGCTTGTGCGCTCTTCGGTGTACTCGTGCCTTCGGTACACCTTGAGTACACTCGCACTTCCCAGTGCACTGGTAAGCCTGCTTGTGCGCTTGAGTACACTCGCACTGCCAGAGCACTGGTGTCAGTACGCTGCTTGTGCGCTCTTCGGTACACTCGTGCCTTCGGTACACCTTGAGTACACGCGCACTTCCAGTGCACTGGTGTCAGTACGCTGCTTGTGCGCTCTTCGGTGCACTCGTACCTTCGGTACACCTTGAGTACACTCGCACTTCCAGTGCACTGGTGTCAGTACGCTGTTTGTGCGCTCTTCGGTGCACTCGTGCCTTCGTTACACCTTGAGTACACTCGCACTTCCAGTGCACTGGTGTCAGTACGCTGCTTGTGCGCTCTTCGGTGCACTCGTGCCTTCGGTACACCTTGAGTACACTCGCACTTCCAGTGCACTGGTGTCAGTACGCTGCTTGTGCGCTCTTCGGTGTACTCGTGCCTTCGGTACACCTTGAGTACACTCGCACTTCCAGTGCACTGGTGTCAGTACGCTGCTTGTGCGCTTGAGTACACTCGCACTGCCAGTGCACTGGTGTCAGTACGCGCTGGCTCAGTACGCTGCTTGTGCGCTCTTCGGTGCACTCGTGCCTTCGGTACACCTTGAGTACACTCGCACTTCCAGTGCACTGGTGTCAGTACGCTGCTTCTGCGCTCGTCGGCGCACTCGTGCCTTCGCTACACCTTGAGTACACTCGCACTTACAGTGCACTGGTGTCAGTGCGCTGCTTTGCGCTTGAGTACACTCGCACTGTCAGTGCACTGGTGTCAGTACGCTGTTTGTGCGCTCTTCGGTTTCTTCGTTACACCTTCGTTACACCTTGAGTACACTCGCACTTCCAGTGCACTGGTGTCAGTACGCTGCTTTGCGCTTCAGTACACTCGCACTGCCAGTGCACTGGTGTCAGTACGCTGCTTGTGCGCTCTTCGGTGCACTAATGCCTTCGGTACACCTTGAATACACTCGTGCCTTTGGTACACCTTGAGTACACTCGCACTTCCAGTGCATTGGTGTCAGTACGCTGCTTGTGCGCTCTTCGGTGCACTCGTGCCTTCGTTACACCTTGAGTACACTCGCACTTCCAATGCACTGGTGTCAGTACGCTGCTTTGCGCTTGAGTACACTCGCACTGCCAGTGCACTGGTGTCAGTACGCTGCTTGTGCGCTCTTCGGTGCACTCGTGCCTTCGGTACACCTTGAGTACACTCGCACTGCTAGTGCACTGGTGTCAGTACGCTGTTTGTGTGCTCTTCGGTGCACGCGTGCCCTCGGTACACCTTGAGTACACTCGCACTTCCAGTGCACTAGTGTCAGTACTCTGCTTGTGCGCTCTTCGGTGCACTCGTGCCTTCGGTACACCTTGAGTACACACGCACTTCCAGTGCACTGGTGTCAGTACGCTGCTAGTGCGCTTGATTACACTCGCACTGCCAGAGCACTGGTGTCAGTACGCTGGTTGTGCGCTCTTCGGTGCACTCGTGCCTTCGGTACACCTTGAGTACACTCGTGCCTTCATTACACCTTGAGTACACGCGCACTTCCAGTGCACTAGTGTCAGTACGCTGCTTGTGCGCTCTTCTGTACACTAGTACTTTCGGTACACCTTGAGTACACTCGCACTTCCAGTGCACTGGTGTCAGTACGCTGTTTGTGCGCTCTTCGGTGCACTCGTGCCTTCGTTACACCTTGAGTACACTCGCACTTCCAGTGCACTGGTGTCAGTACGCTGCTTTGCGCTTCATTACACTCGCACTGCCAGAGCACTGGTGTCAGTACGCTGGTTGTGCGCTCTTCGGTGCACTCGTGCCTTTGGTACACCTTGAATACACTCGCACTGCCAGTGCACTGGTGTCAGTACGCTGCTTGTGCGCTCTTTGGTGCACTCATGCCTTCGGTACACCTTGAGTACACTCGCACTTCCAGTGCACTGGTGTCAGTACGCTGCTTGTGCGCTCTTTGGTGCACTCATGCCTTCGGTACACCTTGAGTACACTCGCACTGCCAGTGCACTACTGTTTTTACATTGCTGGTGCTCCAGATAATGCACTCGTGTCTTCGGTTCATCGTGAGTACACTCACTGAGCTATGGTAACTCAGGGGCTAAGTAGTCTCTTTAAATTTCACAGTACGCGAGCAACCTAGGCACGATCTTTGCCAATAGCCGCGTACTGATTGAGCGAGCAGCCTCGCGAGGCTGCCTCGGCGGACATTTGCTACAGTACGCATGCCGCGCGAGACGGCCTCGGTCTCTAAGTTTTCTAATCCGAGGCTACTTCGCGCGGCAAGGCCAAGCCACCGTGAGCATCGACGCTCAGTTTAACTTGGAGTCGAATAGAGACCGCGCGTGCGTATAGTTTGCCCGAGACCACCATGAGGCCGCACATTCGGAAAGCTGTCGCTACTACTGCCTTTTTAATAATTCTAAGGCTTGCAAAAAAAAAAAAAAAGAAAACAGAAAACTAAACGTTTTGGATTAAACTCTTATACAAAAATAAATTACAGGCTGGGAACAGATTGTTTGAAGAGTTGTGCTTCGATGACGAAGAAAAAAATTTCACTCTAATGAGTAAAATCGAATTTGACAATGTGTATTCTCTCATAAACGCCAAAATAAGCAAGAAGGACACAAATTTTCGAGAAGCAATATCCGCTAGGGAAAGATTTTTTTAGTGACGTTGAGATTTTTGACCACAGGAGATTCTTATACCAGTCTACAGTATCTATTTCGTATATCAAAACAAAGGATATCGGTTATAGTTCCTGAAGTCTGTGATGCTATAATTGAGGTGTTAAAGGATTATGTTAAGGTAAAATAAAATTACATATTTTTATTATTTTTTTATTAATCAAATTAGAAAATTGGACAAATAATATAAGAAAATTAAACAAACAAATATTTAATGATGAGGAGCTGGAGAAGGAGGAGGGGGAGGCATTGGTGAGGCAGCAGGTATCGGTGAGGAAGGAGGCATGGGCGACGCAAGAGGCATCGCTGAAGTAGGAGGCATCAGTGAGGTAGGAGGCATGGGCGAGGCAAGAGGCATCGGTGAAGTAGGAGACATCAGTGAGGTAGGAGGCATGGTCGAGGCAAGAGGCATCGGTGAAGTAGGAGGCATCAGTGAGGTAGGAGGCATGGGCGAGGCAAGAGGCGTCGGTGAAGTAGGAGGCATTAGTGAGGTAGGAGGCATGGGCGAGGCAAGAGGCATCGGTGAAGTAGGAGGCATCAGTGAGTTAGGAGGCATGGGCGAGGCAAGATGCATCGGTGAAGTAGGAGGCATCAGTGAGGTAGGAGGCATGGGCGAGGCAACAGGCATCGGTGAAGTAGGAGGCATCAGTGAGGTAGGAGGCATGGGCGAGGCAAGAGGCATCGGTGAAGTAGGAGGCATTGGGCGAGGCAAGAGGCATCGGTGAAGTAGGAGGCATCAATGAGCCAGGAGGCATCGATGAGGCAGGAGGCGTCAATGAGGCAGGAGGCATCAGTGAGGTAGGAGGCATGGGCGAGGCAAGAGGCATCGGTGAAGTAGAAGGCATTGGTGAGGCAGCAGGCATCGAATATGTAGATGGCGTCGATGAGGAAGAGGGATGAGACATATATCTTAAATTGTCGTGTTCACCATATCATTGAGTATAATAACCATAACCACTGTATGCTCCCATGTCTGCATCAAACATAATTTTATTTATTGCATTTTTTACGTATGCTAATGTAATTTTATCATATTTTCTCAACTCATTTCTTATATATTGGCCATACACATTATAGGGATCATTTTTTCTGATATATTATCGCACATTGTTGTAAAAGTGTTAATGCTTCAGATATGGCGTATCAGTAAGATCATCACTTTCGTTCATTTTGGATCTCTTTTTAGGTATAGTTGACTTTTGTTTAGGTCCTTCCGTTATCGTCGAGTTTGAAGTTTCATTTCTTTCTTCGTTATGACCATCATCATTTCTAGTATTATCCTGACTTGCATTCTGTAAAGATAGAAATTGTTACTTAATTTTATTTACAGATACCATCATCCGAAGAAGAGTGGCTTACCATAGCGAAAGAGTTTGAGAGCAACTGGAATTTCCCTCATGTCATAGGAGCAATGGATGGGAAGCATGTTATATTACAGTCGCCGATAAATAGTGGCAATGATTATGACTGTTACAAAATGTTTCCAAGTATAGTGCTGTTTGCTTTAATTGACGCTAACTATAAATTTCTGTACGTAGACGTTGGCAGCAAGGGACGTATATCAGATGGCGGTGTGTTTAAAAACACCAATTTATATAAAAAGGTCGAAAAGAAGGAATTGAACATTCCTCCGCCAGAAATATTACAAATACCGTATAAAATTGCAGTGCCCTATTTTATTATAGGCGATAAAGCTTTTGCTCTCAATGATTACACATTGAAACCTTATGAAGGTACTCCAGAAAGAGGTTCAATGGAAAGGATTTTCAATTACAGGCTGTCAAGAGCAAGAAGAGTTGTGTAGAATGTCTTTGGCATTTTAAGCTCTGTTTTTAGAGTACTGAGGAAGCCGCTACTATTAGAACCAGAAAAAGCTGCGAAAGTCGTATTGACTAACATATGCTTATATAACTACTTGCGTAGAGATCAAGCTTCCTTACAGAGGTTTACTCCCCCCAGGATCATGCGATGCCGAAGTTGAAGGGACAGTAATACCCGGCCGATGGCGACAGGATCCAGAAATCTCATCAATGCTATCTATTCAAGCCATACCACGGCGAGGATCAAAAAATATAAAAGAAATACGTTCACATTTAGGGAGACATTTCATAACAAACGGAGCAATTTCTTGGCAGAATAATTATCAGTAAATAATAGGTACTCACTTCTTCACCTAAAGTATCTTGTGTATTTCCTGGGTGATTTCTGTCTCCCAGAAAACTGAAGGCTTCATAGGCATACAAATTCGAAACATATATTTCACCACGACCTGCAGTATAAAATAAAATAACATATTAGAAATTATATAAAAACCGGTGTAACTTTGGATATAATAAAATGAATGTTGTTAAACCTAATCATAAACATTAAATAATAAATACCTGATCCTGTGATTCGGCTTTTTTTTCTCGACTTTTCCCTCCTGTAAGACCCTAGTAAAGAGTCCATTTTTTACCTTTAATTCAGCTATTGGAAGGTTCATTTCCTGGCTTATTTTTCTCCATGCATCTTCCCTTAGTCCTCTATTTGTGTAATCAGGACATTGCGCATCCCAAAGTCGTCTATATTCACCATATAGTTGTATTAATTTAAGACACTGTTCTTTATCCATGACGCACAACTAACACGCAACGAATAAGCGAGGCAAAATACTACCGTCTTGAGTGAGTGCGGCAAACGTACTGAGGCGCCTTTGAGCATCGACAAAAACCGACAACGCTCGGCTCGGGCCGCGACTCGCTCGGGCGAGGCAGCGCGTGCATTTGCCTCGGGCGCGCCACGTCTTGACCGACCGAGGATTTGCCTCTCATGAGGCTGCTCGCTCATTCAGTACGCGGCTAATGACATTATTGCATTTAAGTGCTGATTTATCACGTAAAGGCAGTGAAAGAAAATATTGTGAGGAATACTTGCATGTTACTAATCTTATGTAATCTATATAATATAATAATCACGATGTTAATAATTGTTTATAAATGGATAAGTTTGTAAGTGTATGATATTTATATAAACCTACAGATATATTTTTCTGCGATTCATTCAATAAATTTTTATATTATTCAAGGCCTTTGCGTCATTATTGTCCGTTAAAAGATGCGATTTAAGAGCATAAAATCGTTTACCTTACAGGAATGACATATTGGCGGCCGGCGTCAAAGGATATGGTGTTTTATGACAAGTACGAAGATGTTCCGGAAAAATGGCAAACGGTTGTTCGCCCTCAGATGTTTCCACCCAAACCTGAAGATCTAGACAAGTATAACTTGGAAAAATGGTGAGACAGAAAAACGCATTTAGTTAACACACACGCACACGCACACCCACACATGTACACCCACACACGTACACGCTCACACATACACGCACACACGTAGACGCACCACACACGTACACGCACACAGCGTACACGCACACATACACACTATTACACATATATAAAATAACTTCAAAGAATCTTTCCTTGTTGAAATATTTCTTATTCTTGTATTTCTCTAGTAGTATATTTAAAAATGTAATATGTGCTATCCGTTAGGGTGAAGGCCTGGTGATCTATAACACAGGGATTACCCTGGTATGGACACCAGTCTCACAAAGGTGAAAATTATCTACAACCGTATTATTTCAGAAATAATGTGAAATTATATACCTTTGTGAAGAGAAAAATAAAATGATTTAGTATTATTATTTTTACTGATAACGATTCCATCATAGTCCTTCATAACACTTCTGCATTTTGAATTTTTAGCCGACTTAAGAAAAGGAGGTTTCCAATTCGAATGTAAATTACACATGAAATTGCAACACAACAAAAACCCGTCGGAAAGCAGTCATTTTCATGGAGCTTAGAGAACAGGAGAACGATCGCTATGTACTAAATATATACATATATGTATATATATATATATATATATATATATATATATATATATATATATATATATATATAGCATAGCCCGCCGAAAATTTGTAGAAGTTATAGCGGCGCTGCCGTCGGTGAGTAGTGACTGCGAAGTTAGCTGTTTATGAGTACAAGTAGATGAAGTTATTTGAATAATGCACAAATTTTCTTCGCGGCATTGGTGAGAAAATTTTCATGCACCGTAATTTTATAATTTTTGATAAAAAGAAACATTAAAAAAGGAGAACTATTTTATTGTGCGTGGATGTGCAATTGGTTTAGCATCTGATCCGAAATATAGACTGAAAATGACTTTTATTAAGCGAACTTAGCGATCGCAGCGCCTAACTTATGGTGTCATATTTCTGGGACACTATTTTCTATGGCGATCGTTCTCCTGTTCTCTAACCTTCATGGTCTATAAGCACAAAGTAACTAAATCGGTGCGACGCCATGTTGAAAGTCGATAAAAATAATTAGTAAACATTGTTTACAACGACAGGATACATTTGAATGAATTATCAGTATTTTTTTCCGAATTCTACAGATTTTTCTCGTTTTTTTGAGGTAGTGTACATATACTTGGCCCATTTTGGAACATCTGCTTTGGAGAAAAAATACCACCTCAATGGTTATTAATTATTTAGATATTTTTAAGTACTTGAAGTCGGCTTTTAATTTCTGTCAAAAGTTATAATCGAAGGTAATTTTAGGCTGCAGTATCCACCTATCATCTGGAAGACTGTGCTGGATTGACACCCATCAAAATAGTATAAAAAAGAGTACAATTGATTTGGAGGAATAAAATTTTGCTTTGTAGCATTTTTGTATGTTTGATTATATACTCTTTGGTGTATGTACATACATTTGTGGTACTTAACAAATATCATTTAAACTATTGAAAACTATGTCTTTCCTTTCATATGTTTTCATTTTTGAACCTTATAGCTATCACTTTTTTTTAGTATAAGAATTTTGCCCCATCATCAAGACACTGGTGGATTTTTCGTAGCAGTATTCGAGAAGACATCACAGTTACTGTGGGAGAAGGCTGAAGAAGAAAAAATGGGGACTAATGAAACGGCGGAAGTGTCAAAAGAAGAGAAAAAAGAGCCACCTAAAAAGAAAAGACGAATGGGCGGTTACAGAGAGGATCCATTTGTATTTTTCTCCGGAGACAGCGAAGACGTGTTCCCTTCTATCAAAGAATACTACGACCTTAAATCGGACTTTGACTCTACCTGTCTTCTAACGAGGTGTCATGTGGGGAAAAAGAAGAACATATATTTGGTGTCGAGTGTGGTAAAAGATGTTGTGCAGAAGAATGAGAACAATATCAAGATTATCAATACAGGCGTGAAGACGTTCGTTAGATGTGACAATAAAAACATGATGTGCCCTTTCAGGTTGGTTGCATTGCGTTTTAAAATTCTTTAATTTTTTTTAAAATAATTAATGTAATCAGGTGTTACTTTGCGGAAATCCATTATATTAAAGATGTTGCAAAGTAAAAGCCATGATGCACGTTATAAAATAAAATGATGTGTATTACCTAGTTTGAAGAGCACCGCTCGCCCTACCTCAATTACGTGCACTATCCCCGTCACCACTAATTCCATTAACACTACCTCCAACACCACTAGGAAAGACACACCATCGTTGGTAATACGACACGTGTTTCGCCTACACGAGGCATCCGCTGGTGCAGTAGATTATGCGGTGGCTGACCGCTAAGTCACCGCACTCAATTAGCACATCACATATCTTTCCATGGCATCTTGCTATGATATGCCACCGTGAATGAAACTGCTCAACTGGGATGCTCTCACGGAATAACTACATAAAATAGCACAATAATGCTACAGTCCTTCGTATAGTGGCAACGAGAATCGAAACCCTGTAAAACAAAACATTCCGTCCTCGGCCTGAGAGGTGTCAACTATCCACTTACCATATATATATATATATATATACACAATTGACTCACTCATTGCAACTTCGGCACCTATTAAGAAAGGATTTTGGAAAATTCATCCCCTGAGAGGTGAAATAGGGTGTTACGTCTTGTAAATTATAACATTCTTCTAGACTTTCTTAGTATTTTACAATCAAAGATGTAATAGAGTGAATTTCACGCGGGGTGGACCCATGCTGCAGAGACCAGGGAAAGACCACGCCCTCACGGAATACCAGCGTGTAATATTAGCATAATGCTGCTGTGTTTCGTATGGTGAGTGTAGAGAACCGGAGACACTTTTTATTGGAAACGAGGCATTTCATCTTAGTCCTCACGGGTGACAACGCATCTGCATTTTGATTTGTAATCGAGGATAGATGTAGATGTCTATGAGTCACATCAACCACTTACCATCAGGTGGACTGTGTGCTCGCTTGTCACCCTTTTTCTATAAAAACATCCTGGTGGATATAGGATACGAAAAATCCGTCGAATTTTTAAGCCGGAACGCCGAACTTTCCGAGCACTAACCGACGTATTCGACACTGTCTTGTTTACGTAATTATTCCATTCGTCCATCTATTACAGCCTCATAAAGTCCACAGCCTCCCCCATTGATTGATACTCTCATAGGCACCCACCCACCAACGACACCCACGGGGCGATATGGTGTAATAGATATTCTTATACCGCAACTGCGCGGATACTTAACTGTATGAATATTAAAACATAATTATTCATGGCCTGAAAAATCTATTTATTCGTATTGTCCCCAACGACAGGTTATCACAAGAGGGTCTGCCAAGCATATCGCAATATATAGGACCCAAGCGAAGGGTTAACATCCTGAAGGAAGACCTAATTCTAGTATTGCAGAACGACAACCCGAGCAATCCGCCCGATATCAAACTGTTCTCTGAACATACACAGAATTTGGTGAAAGACTTTGGTAAGTACAATGTTGGCCTTAACGATGTTGCATGTGCATATCTTGGGTTGTATTGATGTTTATTTTATTTTATTTATTACATGATGTTCGGTTTACACCGAACACGTTTTTGTAGGCGTCGGCATCAACATTAAACTTTGTATTTTTAGCCAGTACATGTACGGACGCCAACAAAGTCTCGTGTGCGTACTCCTAACATTGTAAACATTTTAACAATAAATATTTTTTAAACATTTAAACAATTATATTTTAACATTAACATCAAAAGGTGTTGTATACCACAACAGCTTTTTGGTCCTTCGAAAGTGAAGTGTGAGTGTGATTTTTCGGTGATAGCGAATCGGTTTGTCTGGCGTCCCAGAAGCGGGTCTCACCAGGCAGATTGAGAAGGCGCATATATCGCTGGAAGTTGATCGTCACACGGACCGCAAACAGGAATAAATCAGTTCACTTAACACCTATCGAATACCTTTTAACTACAACACCATGGAAGACTTACAAGCAAATCAACAACAGATGGTTTCTGGTATGGAGCAGCTGCTCAGCAACTTTAAAAAGGACGACGTCGATCGCAGGACTGCTGCTCATATCAAAAAACGACTGAACACTTTGGATACTTACTGGCAGGAATTTCATAAACTTCACGTCCAGGTACGTGAGTTGTGTGATGAAAACCATTCCTATATTGTGCAGAATCAATACGGACAAGTTCTTGATTTTTATATAAAAACAAAAGACTACGTACAAAGTTTCTTACCAACTGAAGAAAAATCAAAACCCTCTACGCCGATCACTAAACTAGCAACTTTCAAACCCCCCGCCGTCCACGTCGTCAGCAACACCTCGACAAGTGGACCGCAGTTCTAACAGCAGGCTGGATGAGATGTTGCGTAAACAAAGTAGCAACTTTAGAGCTTTTAAGCGAACTTTAGCAAACATTGAACTCGATTTATTAACCGATAACTGGGAATTAGAGGATGCTCTGAAGACCTTGAGTGTTAGATGGAACGCTATCGACTCTCTCCATTGGGAGCTCGACAGCGAGCTGGAGGGTACTAACGTAACATACAAACAAGAATTTTCCATCCATGAGAGAAGCTTTAGTGACACAAAGAAGGCGATCAACAGGAAAATATGGTCGACAGGTCATCAAGAAAAATCTACACCGAAGCTTGATATTCCTATCTTCAACGGGAATTATCATCAATGGGTTCCGAAAGATTTATTTATGGAATGCATTCATAACAATCGCTTCCTTTCCAGTGCTCAAAAAATGCAATTCTTAAAGAGCAAAGTCAGGGGAGAAGCGGAGCGGCTGATACAACACCTACAGATAAGCTCGGATAATTATATTATCTGTTGGAACATTTTAAACAACCGATACAATAACCCGAAACTTATATTCACTTCTCATATGAATCTACTAATGGGTTTGCCAGTTTCACAACAAGCTTCAGTCACCAATATCAAGAAAATACACGACACTACGCTGGAATGTTTAAATGCAATAAAAAACCTAGGAATTGACATAACCACCTGGGACCCAATTATTGTTTACCTGTTGACTCAAAAACTCGATAATGAAACTCATCATGATTATGTTCAATCTTTGAAATGTCCCCGGGAACTGCCAAAATTACAAGATTTTCTCGAGTTTTTGGAACAAACATTTACGTCGATGGAGTCTGGACGTAAAAAACAAGACAACACTCATCAAAAATCGCACATTCCAAGTAATCAAAATCAGTATCTGAAAACTCCAAAATCGAATTATTTCAAGCAATCATACGCAAGTAATCGACTAACAACCCAGCATCCATCCAACACCTCGTCGAGGGGTGAGGCGTCACCTAACTTACAAGCTGCTAAAAACAAGAACTTCATAACATATACATGCCCACTCTGCAGTAAGGATCATGGACTATTCTTTTGTCAAGAATTTTTGGACATGTCTCCCCAAATAAGACGCAAAACAGTAACGAAATTAAATGTTTGCAAAAACTGTCTTTTTAGTCACCAAGGTAAAGCATGTGCATTTCCGAGAAGCGGTGTCGTGAATGCAACGATAATCATAACACCTTGTTACATGACGCCTTCAGGCCATATTCAAACAAGCCACAAAACAATCCGAATATCAAAAACAAGTCGTCGATTTCGTCAGAAGCGGAAAATAATCGCGTCAGCACAAGTAACTCGAATGTTACTCAACAAAACAACGATATGACGGAAATTTTATTAGCGACAGCGATGCTCAAAGTGCGGGCCGCAGATGGTACTTATAAAATCATGCGCACCCTTATTGATCAGGGTTCACAAGTCTCGATAATATCTGAGAATGCAGCCCAGCGACTAGCTCTTCCTAAACGAAACTGCAAAGGTAGTATTTTTGGAGTCGGTGTTAAACCTAATAGCTGTAAAGGAGTACTTGACTTAACATGCTCATCAATGGACGACTACTACGTCTTTGACACGTCAGTATTTATCATGCAAAATCTTATAAAACAATTACCAAATTTAACGTTTGCTAAACCTTCGTGGTCATTCTTGAACAATATACAACTAGCTGACCCCGACTTCAACATAATGAGACCGGTGGATCTTCTTCTGGGTGCTGACATATATTCAAACATTATATTACCTGGAATATGCAGAGAAGAAGATCAATCTGTGCCGATTGCCCAACAGACTCTTGACCCAACAGACTTGCTGGATTTTGTGTGGAAGTACAAAAACATACCAATGCAATGTAATTTTGAGCAACATAGAGCAAATAGAAATAATTTGGGAAACAGAGGACATTACTGAACTTTCCAACTTTCGGCAGAAGACTTTCAATGTATTCAATACTATGAAGACACAACAAAGCGACTCAGTAATGATAGATACGAGGTCAGACTCCCACTCAAACCAGGATATGAAAAACAATTAGGCTTGTCCAAAAATAAGGCCATCGCACAATTTCTCAGCATGGAAAGAAAGTTTGGAAACCACAACAGTTTTGGGCAAAATTACAAAGCCTTCATTCACGAATACCTAGCGCTTGGACATTTGAAACCCGCCGATTCAGTGGGTCGACTCGAATATTATTTACCACACCACGGCGTAGAACGACCGGAATCCACAACTTCGGCCTTGCGGGTAGTGTTCAATGGCTCTTACAAGACTTCAACAGGTTCGAGTCTCAATGATGTCATGTATGCTGGTCCAAACTTACAAAAGGACCTTCAGGAACTGTTGATCAAGTGGCGACAGTTTGAGATAGTATTTACGGCAGACATAGAAAAGATGTTTCGCCAAATATGGATCCATCAAGACGACCAGCTTCTCCAAAAAATAATATGGAGAGATTGTCCAAGTTCTGCATTACAAGACTTTCAGCTATGCACAGTCAGTCACCTATGGTACTAAAGCTGCCCCATTTTTGGCCATGATGACGCTTAAACGATTAGCAAACGATGAACGAAGGAATGATTACTCCACCACTGCACTCCAGGCCCTAGAAGAAGCCATGTACATGGACGATCTTCTTTATGGAGCCCATTTTATGACGTCAGCAATGGAATTACAACAAGAGCTGATTCGCCTGCTTCAGTCAGGAGGATTCAACTTAAGAAAATGGAATTCCAACAAAGAGGAACTACTCAACATCAACAAAAACCAGGACAACAAAAATTTTGATTTTAAACATGTACATTCATCGAAAACACTTGGACTTAGCTGGATTTCTAAGCAAGATGTTTTCGATTTTTTTTTTGATTTCGTCACATTCCAATCGAAAATCAGTGACTCAGAGAAAAAATGTACAAAGCGAAGTCTTTTGTCAGAAATTTCGAAACAGTTCGCTCCAATTGGCCTGATTGCTCCTATAACACTGAAACTGAAACTTCTCTTCCAAAAGGTGTGGCAGCTAAATCTTCAGTGGGATGACGAACTATCCGAAGAAATCCAAGTAGAATGGATAAACATGAAACATGATATCAAAATGATTGATCAATTACAAATACCTAGATGGTTGGGAACAAAAGAAAAAGGCCTAGTCGAATTGCATGGTTTCTGCGATTCGTCGGAGAGAGCATTCGGCTGCGCCATATATTGCAGAACAAACAAGGATCATCATTCAATGGTGGTGTTAGGTGCCGCTAAAACCCGACTAGTACCTATCAAAAAGCACATCGCTATACCAAGGCTCGAATTAAATGCCGCGGTTTTATTATCAAAACTGATGAACAAGGTTGTCAACTGCCTAAGTACATACAACATACAAATCTTTGGTTGGTGTGACTCAACCGCTGTACTAGGCTGGTTACACGGAGACGCTGCACGATGGAAGCCGTTCGTGGCGAACAGGGTCAAACAAGTGATCACCACTATGCCCCCTGCCTGTTGGCGCTTTGTGAAGTCAGAGGACAATCCAGCAGCAGGGGCTTAACAACAGCACATAGGACCCTTTGGTGGCAAGGGCCCTCTTGGCTACTTACATATAAACAAGACATCGAAAACAAACCTTTATATACAACAAACGAAGAGGAAAAACAAGTTTTAGTAGCTCAGAAATCAAAAGAAGGAGAAGAAATTAACATTTTACAGCAACTAATAGAAAAACAAAGCTCATTTACACGCTTAGTAAGAATATTGGCATGGATTATACGAGTCAAAAAAAGATTAAACTAAACAGAGGCAGCTCTACCTAACATTATGAGAGTTACAAACAGCGACTAATTTATTAATAAAACATGTGCAATCAGCTGAATTCAAAGACTATATGAATAGCATTACGCAAAATAAAAAAGTACCGAAAAAGAGCACATTATCAAAGTTGAATCCATTCATAGACAGAAATGGCATCTTAAGAGTAGATGGCAGATTAGAATTCGCAAATATCACATATAACATGAAACATCCAATAATTTTGCCGAACAAAAGTAGTTTTACACAATTACTGATTGAGAGCGCGCATAAGATTATATTTCACGGCGGCGCGCGATTGACGTCGGCGTTCATTCGACAAAAGTACTGGATTTTTGGCGGAAATCGAACAATTAAAAGGTTATTAAGAACCTGTGTAACCTGCCGTCGTCACGCTCCCAGCACACAACCACAGATCATGGGTGATATGCCTGAAGCCAGGACAAACCCCTCCCGTCCTTTTTATCATACTGGAGTTGACTACACGGGTTACGTGGACGTCGAGGCTAGCAAGGATCGAGGCATAAAAACAAACAAGGGTTATGTGGCTGTATTCGTGTGCATGGCTACAAAGGCCGTGCACCTCGAACTCGTGTCTGACCTCACGTCGTCAGCATTTTTGGCCGCACTGCGTCGTATGGCAGCTCGTCGAGGCGCGCCGCGTCACATATATTGCGACAACGGCACTAACTTCGTCGGTGCCAGCCGTGTTCTGGGACAAAACATAAAGCTGATTAAAGAAAATATTTCTGATCCAGAATTATTTATTGAACTTACCAAAATGGAGATCGAATTCCACTTCAACGCTCCGTCTTGGCCGTCAGCGGGAGGACTCTGGGAGGCTGCGGTGAAGAGCTTTAAATATCACATCAAACGTGTTATCGGAGAACAAAAATTAACATACGAAGAGTACTCAACGATACTTACTCAGCTAGAAGCGTGTCTTAATACTAGGCCGCTGTGTGCTTTGACTGAGGATGTGGGACCTTGACTTCTTGACACCTTCGCATTTAACAGAACAGCTGATGTAACCATCCTGGAAATAGAACGTGACGCGCGAACAAGATGGAACTTAACAGAAAAACTAATGGCTGATATATGGAAGCGCTGGAAATCGGAATACCTCACACAACTTACCGTTCGAAACAAATGGAAGTAGTCGACGTCTAATATTCAAGTCGGTCAATTAGTGACAATTCAAGACGATAACTTACCTGCTGGAAAATGGTTGACAGGTCGAGTCGTAGATTTACACCCAGGAAAAGATGGTTTCGTTAGAGTTGTCTGCTTGAAAACAAAACACGGAATTTTAAAACGGCCAGTTACCAAATTATCCATACTGCCATTGCGAGGAAACCAGGAACCTGAAATCAGAAAAAACAAGATAACAGCTAAATCAAGTCTGATATCAATTTGTGCTGCATTGCTATTTTTCTTGAGTATAATCGTACCTACGCATGGTGCTCATACTATTCAGCAACTTAATCAATCTTTGTATTTCGACGCCGTTTCCAACATCCAACTTATTCAAGACGACTGGAAGCTCATAATTTACTTCAACATGCAACCATTTTGGGAAGGCTCCGAAGCACTTGACAAATATTAAAAACACATGGAAAACATATTATGTGAAACAATGAAGGGCAACAGTCACTGTGATGCGGTCCTATTGCAGTTACGTCATAGTACCAGTGAACTCGAGTACTACAACCTCATGTTGCTAACCGAGCACGACAGACAGAAGCGAGGGCTTATCAATGGTGTCGGGTATCTCGCGAACAATCTCTTCGGAGTACTCGACGACCATTTCGCAGAAAAGTATGAGCGAGATATCACACTTATCAGACAGAACGAACATCATTTGGCTTCCCTGAACTCAAGAACTCGAGAACCAAGTGTCTATTATCGAAGTAGGAATACAACATGATGAAAAGAATGGAAGAAGTTATGAGAAAACAACACAAGATTATTAACAAACAGATTAATGCCTCAGACAGCAACATAAACAAAGTAAGAACAGAATTAGAAAAACTTCACAACATCTTTTTGTTGCGATAGCAGCTATATGCCTTGCCTGTAAACGACTACGGCAAAGAAGAAACACGGCCATCACTTCAACTATGAGCCTCGGTAACATAACTACGGAAGGTCTAAGCTCCGCTCCTGTAGCAGCGGTGGCCGCCCCGAGAGCGCAGCGCGCCGCTGCAGTGTCCGACCCGAGAACGCAACTCGTCGCCGCCAGCGCCGAGCGTGCGTCCACACCTGCGCTCCCGAACACGTTCAACACTCAAGACCGAGCAACTTCGCCTATATTGCGAACCATCATTCTTAAACGCGATGCAGAATAATTTTTATACGTATCTTTTCTCAAATCATTTTACATTTTTTTGTATTTTTAGTTTATCTCCTTTGCTGTACGGGAAGATGTTCGGTTTACACCGAACACATTTTGTACGCGTCGGCATTAACATTAAACTTTGTATTGTTAGCTAGTACATGTACGGACGCCAACAAAGTCTCGTGTGCGTACTCCTAACATTGTAAACGTTTTAACAATAAATATTTTTTAAACATTTAAACAATTATATTTTAACATTAATATCAAAGGGTGTTGCATACCAAAACACATAATATCCATTCCTATAAGTATTTTATTTATAAAATTCTTGACAATATGCTAATGAGTCACATTGCTACGTTGCTGGGAAATTTTGATCACAACTTAAGCCAATGGACAGTTCCATTGATGGTTCACATGCGCGGACATTTAATACACAAAATCGCAACACTTTTATTGTAACAATATCTACATCAAACAAGTTACAATTAGACTAGAATTAGAGATTAGATTAGAATTAGAGATTTTTATACGTGGTAGAACCATGATGCAGCTATATTATGGTTGTAGCACGAATGGGTCGGCTCGACCGGGGAAGGACCACGCTCTCATAGAATACCAGCGTAAAATAGCAGCTTAATACTGTTGTATTTCGTATGATCCGGAGACCCTGTCTAACTGGGAACGAGGCATTCCATCTTAGTTATCAGGGGTGATAACGCATCTGCGTTTTGATTCTTAATCGAGGATAAATGTAGATGTTTATGGACCAAAGCATTCACTTACCATCAGGTGGACTGTGCGCTTTTTGTCATCCTTATTGGGTCAACTTCCCGCCAAAACTCCAATACCCTTGTATTGTGGAAAGGCACGATGATGGTGACAGTTGTCATCGTGAATTTTCGTATCTATCGCGATCAGCAAAATCGGTGTATATCGTGTTCTTAGTCTCTATATTTTCCACATATGCATCTGCCTGTAAAGGTCCTCGCCTGAATATAGGTCTTCCCCATAGATTGCTATAGTCGCCACGCATTGCAGGCGGGTTGCCACAAATTGTATATTCATCGACACGCCGAATACCGAATATTACGCGAGCTTCACGGCCGAATAGTCGAATATTAAACAAAAATATTCAAAGGAAATAGGTAGTGTTAATTCAGAGCGTCTTTCTCTGAAACTGGGTTTGTCTACGAGAAGAAAAGGAGTAAACTACTGTCTGAAAATGCACTTCTAAATTTTTATTACGATATTTCAAGAGCATAGACATTTATCAGATAGTTTTTTTGTAAAAGTTTATAATGACGGAAGTTGATTATAGGTACCTGTAGAATGCTCGATAACACTGACACTAAGGTATAGTTACACTTAATCACTCCGTTAGTTCAGAAACGTCACACTGAATACGTCCGCTCGCCACGGACGTTGACTGTCTAATGACCTCCCCACATAGATCACTGAATATATACTAAACAATCGAATAACCCCCACTACCTGTATACTACAGTACCTATGACTACTTCAGTAATTACAAGAAAAATAAATCATTATAAAATAAATCAATATTTATATTTTTCCAATTACTTGACTACAACAAAAAAAACTTCTTTCTTTAAGTTTTCGGTATTAGGCCGATAGCACCTAGATATTAGATATTCGACCCTATACGATAAAAGTGGCTGAATAGGCCGTATACCGAACACAAGCCGAATATTCGTTGCAAATCTATTTTTTATTTTTAGTTGTAATTAGGAAAACGCTACTGCTCATTCCCTGGTTTGTTTCCCTCTGTCGACTCTTACGGCACCCACGGAACGATGTGGCGTAGTGGATATTCTTACACCGACACTACACGGTCGGATATTGTGTATAGTATATACAGGGTGTTAGTGTAAACACCGGTTATCTTTGAAACCAGTGGTTTGGTTTCACTTATAGAACGTAAATTCAATGAAAAATAACTAAATTTTTTAGTAAAATCCCATTTTCTCCTTAATTCCTCAATTTTTGCCTGTCCTCAGCCAGGATGAAAGTATGAAGGAGAAGTTACATCACAGGTTATGTGTACCTATTGTGTTTTTATTGGAATGTTGTGTAGGTAGCTAGCGCGGACGGTGATCTTTACAGTGATTACGTCATTCGGGCGCATAGGGTATCCATGAATTTACGGACGGTGTCGGACAGAAACTTTTTAAGTTTTATGAAAGAAAATAGCGTTTTTTTTTAAATTCGGATAAATATTTTTATATTAAAGTAAACTACCTATGGTTTTACAGTCAACGGTGTTTACACTTACACTTTGTATAGTATTTAGGTAACAAAGATGATTTTTATTACAGACAACTTTCGGTTAACAAGCTGTAATGTTGATTTCTATATTTGCGCGTAATTATTATGTGTAGGTAGTGTTCACGTATATTTACGCGAATTTAATTTGTAAGTAACCGTGGTTAACTATGACATTGGACGTCGAACACCTCAGTCCCCGCTTGACCATGGGTGCTGTTAAGTGCTGGAAACGTCGGATATTTAAAATAAGTCAATATACGCAATAAAAGCCGTAAAAACTAGTTTTAATTAAAAGCGTAATGTTCGTCTTCGTCCAGACGACATTTACATCAACGCACTCGTTTTTAATTTCTCTTAGCTGATGTAAATCCAGATAGACTAAGATCTAGGTTATGTTACCTAAGTTGGTGTCCGTTTGTGTGCTAGGTTATAACTTGATGCAGTTTCAAGATTTACGTGTATAAAGTCACCATTATAGAGATTTCAAGATTTTAATCTTGGACATTTGTTTTTCTTGTTTGTTGCAGCAACGGGCAGTTGTATTCTAGAATACCAAGACACGGAATCAAACCTAAAACTAACGCTAGTGGGTTGGCGAGGTGTACATTCGCTGCGGGCGTACACCGCCACGCCCGACACTGTGCATTATTTGCGACTCTTAGGCGCCGATTATAGTAAATATGGTAAACTCTTCATTTAATCAATTCTACAAAGTAATTTTAATTTTTAATTTTAGAGATTTCGCTAATTGTTAATAGTTAATGAAATTATTTTCGTGAATATTCACATTAAGAATAATATGTACTGGTTAGGTATAACTTGTTTGTATAATATTATGTATTATGCAGTGTTTTTATTGTTACGTGCGGGGTGAGTAAAAATGCCGATTAGGAAGATAATTGTAATAAAAAGAAAATTTAGCGGTTCATTCATCGTACCATTCAGGTTCAAAAATATTCAAGCAGCGTAATAAATACAGGGCCAGTAAAATTATGGAATGGGCAGTTAGATAAATAGTTTGGGCAGTTCACTGTGAGCGGTAACACGACACACGAACATCACTTTGATTGAAAAGAGGACTCATCAAAGCGCGGGTGGTATAATAGGCCAATCACAGATGTCGCATTCATTCATTTGGTTTTAGTATGTGAGCACTGACTGTGTGAGTGCGTAGTTATTACTAATTTGAAGTTATTTTGGTGATAGATATTTGATAGCACCCAGAAATCATTTCAGTGGAGTTAGGTTAGAAGGCTGTAGCGGAAACGAAGCGCAGTGCAGATCTCGCCACAGCTTTCGTGGTTATATTTTTTTACCGCCCAGAAATACTTGGGCATACTAAAATCCCTTCAGTTGAATTCCGATGTTTTTAACTGCCCACTAATAACTGCCCTATAGTCATATTACTGCTCAATATTTATTTAACTGCCCATTTAAATTTGTTTACCAATAATTTCAATTTGGTTTTCTGCCCAATTTTTACTGTTGAACTTGTTAATAAACATGCATTTAATAATTTTTAACTTACCAATGCTACAATATTCAACTACTTCTTTAAATCAGAGCCTTTCTTTTGTGAACTTGATGTTGCGGGATCTTAACAGCAGTGAAAGATCACGTATCAGAGTGATCACATGTTATCAGTCATCACTGAGATGCAACACTTATTGTACACTTTTGTTTTCATATTTTGAAGTATCTAATTAAAATTTATTATCTCATGTTTATAAAAAAGGTTACCTTTGTCAGTGTGCTTAATATTGTTTATTTTTTCAGACGTTAACAAATTCAAAAAGGCCTCTGACGTATCAGACGAGGCGGACACCAATAACGTTGCTGAAGTTTCGCAATGTTCGACAAGTGAAAAAGAGCCTAATGGTGATAAGGAGAACAACAGTGACGTCTCTATAAATGAAGCTTCAAAAATAAATAGTACATAAGATTCATAATTGAATTTATTTTTATATACCATAATGTAACTTTTATTTTTTTGTAAGTACAGTAATTTTGAAGTTAAATAGTGTTTCATTTGTCACATGATATATTTGATTTAAGGCTTTTTTATCTAAGACTGAAGTGAATCAAACTTGTCCATCAACTAGTCCATCTGATTGGGTAGAATGGAATAGAATAGAATGGAATATTTTTTATGCAATATAGATTATATGTAATACTTATTGAAAGTCATATTTTACTTTTACCAAAAAAATTCGAACAAAAACCTCTGTCCTGGAAAGAACCAGCAAAAAACGCAGCGAGACTTTTTTTTAAAGCACAATTTACAATATAATATAACGTACAATCATTATGAAAACATTAAGAAACAGCATTGCGCGACCATCTAATTCCCAGGGTTTATTATCAATCATGTACTCTCTAGTAGTATAATAACCTTATCAAACAATTTTTGCTTAGTAAATATTTTAATCCTTTTGATAGATAAGGTCTGCACATTTTCTAGGACTTTGTTGTAATAGCGTACACATTGGCCCATGAGGGAATTACTGACTCTTTGGAGTTGAGTAACTGGTATAACTAACATGTGCTTGTTCCTAGTATTTACAGAATGTACATCACTATTTTTAATAAAACAGTTTTTGTTTTTGTGTACATACATTAAATGTTCGTAAATATATTGGGAAGCCTAAGTTAATACATTTATTTCTTTTAATTTTTCTCTAAGAGAATCTTTCGGACCTAGGTTACAAATTGCTCTTATGGCTCTCTTCTTCAAACAACTGTAAGTGGCTATTGTAAGCAAGCAATTATTATTATTATTATTATTTTTTTTTCTTGTGCCAAAAAGATCGAACTTTTTAATCGATATATAGTACTGAATCGATATTTTACCCTAGAAAATCGAGATCGAATCTTTTACTGTTTTCATAAGAACTATAAAATTATTTACAATTAGTTGAATGTACCCAAACTCGTAAAGAACGGCAGTTTTTCTATTCAAAAACCAGCAGTGTATACCAGTTTTAACAGTGGTAGAGCTACGCGGCAGCTTTGCTGTTGCACGTATGGGCCGGCTCAAACCGGGGTGGTACCACGACCTCACAGAATACCGGCGTGAAGTGGAAGCTCTGCTTCCGCGTTTCGTCTGGTGAGAGCAGGTGGCCGGAGGACCAAATCCCCCCCCCCTTAACTTGGTAGCGGAATTAAGTGAAGATCTACCCCAAGAGAGTACCAGCACCCCTGGAAAATCCCTCGCTGAGTATCCACGACCAAGTTACTCCACTCCTGAGCGTGGGTGCTCAGGCTGCCCCGCGTATTCTGGGGGGGGGGGGGCAAAATTCAAGGCTACAACTGCTCGGGGCAAACGGAGCAACAAGACCAAGGGGACCCCTGCCACGCTATCCGTGAATTTCTGCAATATCAGGGGACTTCACTCTAACCTAAACGCCGTCCACTACCATCTCGGGACGTCGAGGCCGGCTCTGCTCTTTCTGACCGAGACGCAGGTGTACTCTCCGGCTGATGTCTCGTATCTCTCCTACCCGGTGTACAAACTGGAACACTCCTTTGTGCCTCGGGCTGGAGTTTGCGTTTACGTCAGAGAGGACATCTGTTCTCGAAGTCTCGGCAGTCTTGAAGGTTCGGACCTGTCCATCCTTTGGCTACGCGTAGACAGCGACGACCATCCGCGCGTCTACGGGTGCCTCTATTGGTCCCATAGCGGTAATGCCGCAACAGACCGACTCTTCGACCACGTCCAAATGGCTACAAATTCGTTGCTACAGCGGATCCCCTCCGCAGAGATCGTGATCCTCGGCGACTTTAACGCCCATCACGTCGAATGGCTTGGTTCACGCTTAACCGATCATGCGGAAAGATCTGTTCATGATTTTGCCTTGGCATATTGTCTGACACAACTAGTTACTTCGCCTACGCGGATTCCAGATGTGGAGGATCAATCACCTTCCCTGTTGGACCTTCTGCTGATCTCTCACCCGGATGGATACCAGATTTCCGTCGACGCCCCTTTAGGCTCCTCGGACCATTGTCTGGTCCGGAGTGTGGTGCCACTCACGCTAAAATCGCAGGTGCATTCTGCAGGCTGCCGCCGTGTTTGGCACTATAGGTCGGCCGATTGGGATGGGATGCGGTCTTTCTTTGCATCTCACCCTTGGGCAGGTTTGCTTCTCGCCGGACGATCCCAACGTTGTTGCGGATTCTGTCGCTGATGTGGTACTTCGGGGTATGGAACTTTTTATTCCTTCCTCTGTGGTGCCCATTGGAGGCAAATCTCAGCCATGGTTTGGTCGCTCCTGTAAAAAATCATCATGCTATAAGCAGGAGTACTACCAAGCCTGGGCTAACGCATCAACGTCACGGGATGTAAACACCAGCGCTCTAAAAAAGAAAGACCAAGGCAAAGTCAGAGCACATAGGCAGAATTGGCGAGAAACTAGTTCGCCTTCCTTCTAGAACTCGTGCATTCTGGTCTCTCGCCAAGGCTGTCCAGGGGAATTTCTGTCAGCCATCTCTTCCATCTCTGCACAGGGAGGACGACTCACTGGCCCATACCGCAAAGGAGAAAGCCGATCTGCTAGGCTCTTTCTTTTCGTCCAACTCGACTCTCGATGATGGGGAGAGTACGCCGCCGACCATCCCGCGGTGTGAGTGCTCCATACCGGAAGTGCAGTTTACACAGCGCTCGGTTCGCAAAGCACTCCTCTCCCTGGACATCCACAAGTCGAGGGGGGAATCCCCCTAATTGTGCTGAGGACGTGTGCTCCAGAGTTAGTGTGTAGTCCCAAAATCATGGAAGACGGCTTTCGTTCACCCGATCCCTAAAAAAGGCGACCGTTCAGACCCGGCCTACGGCTACCGGCCTATTGCCATCACCTCCTTGTTCTCCAAAACAATGGAGTACATTGTAAACTGCCAGCTCATGAGGTACCTTGAGGATCACCAGCTGATTAGTGACCGCCAATAGGGTTTTCGCAGTGGTCGATCAGCTGGTGATCTTCTGGTCTACCTAACTCAGATGGACGGAGACAGTAGAGTCCAAGGCATTGGCCGTTAGTTTGGACATTGCGAAGGCCTTCGATCGGGTTTGGCACAAAGCGCTTCTTTCGAAGCTCCCTTCCTAAGATATTCAATTGGATCACCAGCTTTCTTGCAGATCGGAGCATCAGGGTCGCTGTAGACGGTGCAAGCTCCGATTACAAGCCTATTAATGCTGGTGTTCCAGAAGGCTGCATGCTATCACCAACGCTGTTTCTTCTACATGTTGCAAACCCCTAACATTCATTGCTATGCAGATGACAGCACTGGTGATGCTCTGTACACCGGCCGTGCCAATATTTCTCGGGAAAACGTCTCCGAGTACCGGGACAAACTTGTCTGAAGTCGAGTCTTTGCTGAATAGAGTCTCGGATTGGGGGCGACTAAATCTAGTCCAGTTTAACCCCCAGAAGACACAAGTTTGCGCGTTAACCGCTAAAAAGAACTCCTTTGTCGTATCTCCCCAGTTTCAAGGCACTCCCCTTGTTGTCTCAGCCAGTATCGATATCCTCGGCGTCGACATATCGAGTGTCATGCAATTTCGTGGTCACTTAGAAGAGAAGGCCAAATTGGCCTCTAAAAAAGCTTGGCGTGCTCAGCGGAGCGGGACAGTATTTCATGCCAGCACACCTGCAACTTTACAGGGTGCAGGTTCCTGGACTGTCCATCTCTGGGCTGGGGCTCCCCAGCACCTTCCACTTGACCGCATCCAGCGCAGAGCGGCTCGAATCGTCGACGACCGAGTGCTTTCCGATCGGCTCGATTCACTGGCGCTGCGAAGAGATGTTGCATTTTCTTTCGCATATACCACGGGAAGTGCTCTGAGGAATTGTCCGGATTAATCCCAGTCGCCAAATTTCGTGAACGCACTACGCGGCAAACGTCCCGATACTATCCATATCATCTGGATGCTTGGCGGTCCACCACTGTATGTTTCACAAGGAGTTTTCTTCCGCGTACGACCTCTCTGTGGAATAGTTTACCAACGGCGATTTTTCCGGACCGATAGGACCTGGGGACCTTCAAGAAAAGAGCTTACTCTTTTCTAAAAGGCTGGCAACGCACCTGCAATTCCCCTGGTGTTGCGGTTGATCATGGGCGGCGGTAGTCACTTAACATCAGGTGAGCCGCATGCTCGTTTGCCCCCTCTTCTATAAAAAAAGCAAAACTGCTGTATGCTCAGTTTCTTTCGCCTCTTCTTAATGGATTAAAAAAATTTAAAATAAGTTATGTTTGTAATCCGTACTTTGTACGAATCTGAAAGCAAATCGAAAAAAATAGATTTTTGAGAAATCGATCTTTTAAACTTCGATTTTTTTTGTGAATCGATTCATCAGATTTCGAAAATAAAATCGATCTTTTTCGGAAAGAATCGACATCCCTATAAGATAGATAATATATCCACAGCCTGTAATTATACTGGCTCTCTATACTCTTCAGATTGGAATATAGCAGTGCAAAAGCTAGATGCAGGTATAAGATACGAGGTCAAATCTGATGTTCTGTGCGACTATGAAATTTTAATGGTAATTGTTTGCCTAAAATAAGATATAATATAAAGTAGTCAATTAAAAAGTTACTTATATTAAAAAGTTAGTACATATTGGTAAATTTGACACAACCAAATTGAACATCAAACGTCGTCAAAACAGCAACGATTACCACCAGAGTTACAGTCGCACATCTGCTCTCAATTTGTTATTCTTACGGTGACGTTCTATAACGTGTTAGAATCACGCTGCAGCTGTATTAAGATTAGAGCACAAATGGGTCGGCCTGATCGGGGAGGCACCACGATCACACCGAATACCAGAGTAAAATATCTGAATAATGTTACAGTGTTTCGTATGGTGAGTGAAGAGAACCGGAGACCCTTTTTACTGGTAACTAGACATTCAATGCTAGTCCTCAAGGCTAACAATGCGTT